TGTTTTCACCTTTCCAATTCTATTCTATTTTACTTTCAAATATGTATTGTATATTGTAAATTAGTTTATAATTGTTTCATTCAGTCTTCCAGCTCCCAAGTGTCTAACACATCAGGAGACTACCACCACTGTTCTGTTGTTTTCAAATGTTATGTACAAACCGCAAATTAATTAGTTCAAAATAATCTTGCATAACTTCATCACTCCATCAGATCGAAATAGGAAATTTCCTTCCTCTACCTCAATTCCTTTCATCAACACGTGTTTACTTTTACTTTGATTAATAATATTAATATGCACTTCAAACTCATTCACTTCACATCGCTAATTCCTTTTTTTATCTCGTTAACAAAGAGACATCATTTGCTTACGCAATGAGAGACGTTCGCTTTGAAATAAATCTAAATGTCTTCCAAAAGCGTATCTAATTCGTTTCTGCTGTAGAATTGATATTACTCCTGTTACCGTTATAGTTTTGCGATTTGTAGATGGTCAATAGATGTATATAGTATTAATAAACAAAATATAAAACCTTTAACGTTTTGTTCTTATTATATCGGAGTGTCTTCCTGTGTCTAATATTCCTTGTACATATAGCTACCACAGATTCTCCAAAAAGAAACAATTTAAATAAACATACCTATGTATATTGTTTCGTCTAGTTGTTAAAGAGTGTCAAAGAATTATTATATACGAGTATTTCTTCTGAGCATAGATGTCATCTACAGTTACGGTCTAACTAGAGCTCTCCACTATGTCTTCATTAACTGCTTAAGACATACCAAGCAGCAAAAAAATTACGGAAGCAACCTGTAATGTAGGTATTATGAAATCATGACGCCCCTAGAGCTTTAAATAATGATGCGAAAATAACTGTTCATAACATGCATACAGTCAGTATTTTCATCTATGACATACGGATAAAAATAGCAAGTCCAAAACTGGTTTGTTCGGCTGACGAATGATTGAGCTGTAGTTAATGATATTGCTGGTATAATCCAATTATAGTAGAGGTACATAGCCCTTAGAGTAGTTGTTTCCTGCAATATCTTCACCTAAAACTTAACTTTCATTCTCATAGGGACGACACTGGTCACGCTTTTATAGAACTTGCATTACAGGTCGCTTTCTGCCATTTTTTGACCGTTTTGTAGGTCATAGGCAGTTAGTCGGCGTCTTGTGCAGGGTTGTGAGACATAGGTTGGTGGAGAAGCGCCTTCGTTCCATATAAACAGCGATTTTCGTCGTTACGATTCTCATTTCAGCCCGATAATGCTGCTATCCACGTCAGTGTCTCGACGAAAGCCTGGCTCCATACCATATAGATTTGAACTGGCCTGCCAAGGCGCCGGATTTCAATCCTATTAAGAACCTCTGGGACATTCTAGTTCGCGACGTTTACGTTGACTGCTGGCAATACGACAACGTTCAACAGCCCAAAACGGATATATTTAAGGTTTGGGACCGCATACTGTTGGATGTTCTCTCGTTGCTGATTCAAAGCATGCCGAAACAGATGATTGTGGTGATTGAAGGATCGGGAAACGTTACTAGTGTATTATTTGTTAGATTTTCGTATTAAATTATTTGTTAATTTTGTCAATAAACGTTGTTTTATTAAGTGAGGCCAATTTTAAGAAAAAAAATTTATAAAATTTGAAAATCATTATTTTGCTAATTTTCAATCACGGCCCACAAACCGATTTGTAAAAACATGTCTTTCACCAAAATTTCATTGGGATTAGTAATACATTGGTTGAAGAGATATTCAGGAAAAATAGGGTGGGCCCATAATTTTGTGTCACACTGTACAGGGTGTCCCAGAATATGTGAGCAATCTCTGGTATTTATACAGGGAACGTTGAAATAACATGACAAGTCCCTATAAAATTTTTCCCTCTACAGAGATACCTAAAAGATGCCATGCCCCTGAAAATCAATTTTTTTCAATAACTTTTAAAATACTTTGTGTAATTTAACTATATTTTAATACGATGGATAACAGATAAGACTCCTTAAGAATTGACCCAAAAACAATTTGGCTTATTTGGTTTGCCAGGGACGGACTAGCTGTAGCACAATAATGTCAATTTTTTTACACCCTTCTCGATAAAGACACAAAAATAATATTTTTAGATAGTTTGAACCTTAAACTAAAAAATATACTCTTGGTTGATATCGATAAAATGAACTGTTTTCGAGAAAAAAACTATTTTTGTTTAATTTGATTTCTATTACATCCGTAGAGAGAAATAATCCAATGGAATTTACATTATTTCTGTGCCTATCTAAAAAAATGCCACTTTTATTTACATTTGTTTTTCCCTTAATTTTTTGTTGCTATGATTGTTTGTTTGACATTTACCGATTTAAATAAGAATTTACAGTACCTATCTGAGACTGTCAGTTAACGATAGACTGTGTCGAAACTTGTGATATTTTCCTTATTTTTTTTTATTCCACGTATTTATTTTAATTGCCGTAATGGAATTTACGTTTGCTGAATATGCCGACATAAATTTATTGTTTGGACTTGCATCATGTAATACCTTAGAAGCCAAAAGGCTTTATGAAGAACGATTTCCAAATCGAAAAATTCCTAATAGGAAAACTTTTGAAAGAGTGGATCAGCGTTTAAGAGAGACTGGTAAAAATTACAATGTATTTGTTACTTGCATTAGAGTACTTTTTGAGTAGGTAATAGTTATGTAGAATTGAAATGCTGTAAATAATTTTAGGAACGTTTGCCAAAGCTAAACACAATCGTGGAAATCAAATTAATCGCGGTGAGGTTGCTGAAGATATCCTAAAGCAGAACCTTCAAAAAGTGTCCGGAAATTGGCTGCCCAGTTTAATTGCCCAAAATCTACAGTTCTTAGAATCTTTAAAGAGAAGCAATTGCATCCTTATCACCTACAGAAAGTCCATGCACTTCTTCCTGTAGACTTTCCGCGAAGGATAGAATTCTCTTTACGGGCCAAGCTGGATTTTGTAAAATTTGAATCGCAAACTCCCATAATTTGCATTTATGGGCAGAAGAAAATCCACATGCTTTTTTTGTGACGCATTATCAGTACCAGTTTGAACCCATTAACTTATGGGCCAGAATCATCGGGCAACATTTCATTGGACCATTTATTGTATTGACTAGAAGGTTAGCTGGGGAACTTTATTTGAAATTTCTCCAAGACAACTTGCCAGAACTTTTAGACGACCTTCCTCTGGCAATACGACATGGTATGTGGTTCATGCATGATGGAGCACCACCCCATTTTAGTCTAGCAGTTCGAGGACACACAAACAGGCATTTCGAAAATAGTTGCATAGGAAGAGGAGGACCAGTAGCTTGGCCTCCTCGATCACCAGATTTAAATCCATTAGCTTTTTTTAAGGGGATATTTAGAAACTTTATTAAAAAATGATTAATTTTCATTGTCGCGAAATAAGGAATTGCAGCACTGTGAAGAATCCAACAATCTGTAATTCGCAGAGCTAGGGAATGTATAACATTATTAAGAGCTCAAGTTGAGCCGACATACAAAATTATGTAATAAAAATCATATTAAACAACAATAGTGTTTTCTCGAAAACAGTTCATTTTACCAATATCAACCTAGTGCCTTTTTTAGTTTAAACTATCTAAAAATATTATTTTTGTGTCTTTATCGTAAAGGGTGTAAAAAAATTGATATTATTGTGCTACGGCTAGTCCGTCCCTGGCAAACCAAATAAGCCAAATTGTTTTCATGGGTCACTTCTTAAGGAGTCTTATCTGTTGTCCATCGTATTAAAAAATGGTTAAACTACACAAAGTATTTTAAGTTATTAAACAAAAATTGATTTTCAGGGGCATCCTTTCGGGGGTCTCCGTCCCTCTAGGCCCTCTAGGGAAAATTTTTATAGGAACTTGTCATGTTATTTTAACGTCCCCTGTATAAATCAAAGAGACTGGCGACATATTCTGTATATTTGCAATTGAAATTGAATTTTAAATTATTTTGGAAACCTTTTGCGTTTCAGCGTTGCTTCCAGTTGATAGTGTCTAAGAAGGAATTAAAGGGATAGACATATGAGAGCCCTAGTATCAAAGGCGGCAATCTCCACCATTTCCACTTTTTGTTAAAGCGCAAAAAACTACTACACTCTTATTACTGCTTAATTCAAAGGAAGCATAGTTTCCAATGAAAGAAAATGCTAAACTACATTAGATTTTAAGGTTAATGTACCTAAATTTTTTATATTTTCTGAAAAAATGTACAAAAATAAATGGAGAATGCCGTGTTTGATACCAACAGTTNCTGTTATCCATCGTATTAAAAAATAGTTAAACTACACAAAGTATTTTAAGTTATTAAAAAAAAATTGATTTTCAGTGGCATCCTTTAGGGGTCTCCGTCCCTCTAGGCCAGGGGTCGGCAAGTAATTTTAGGTGGGGTCCGGATACTTTTGAAAATTTTTAACGAGGTAAAGAAAAAAATTTGTTTGTTATTTTTTTATTTTAATTTGGACTCAAATTTAATCTGCTTACTAACCATTAAGAACTCACACACTCACACAATTGTAAAATACTAGAAAAAATGATAAGATTGGCACTTAAACATAAAAAATATTTTTTAAATTGAGTAATTTATACTTTCAAAAAATTTTTGGCGGTCCAGTATTTTACCTTGCGCGGTCCGGACCTGGACAGCGGTCCGCCAGTTGCCGACTCTTGCTCTAGGCCCTCTAAGGAAATTTTTTATAGGAACTTGTCATGTTATTTTAACGTCCCCTGTATAAATCCAAGAGACTGCCGACATATTCTGTATATTTGTAATTGAAATTGAATTTTAAATTATTTTGGAAACCTTTTGCGTTTCAGCGTTGCTTCCAGTTGATAGTGTCTAAGAAGGAATTAAAGGGATAGGCAGATATCCACTTAGATATACATTAAATACATAATATATCTAATTCATTGTTATCTGAAATTTTATTAATATATTAGAGTTCATAAATCTTACCTAGAGCTGAAGTATATTTTATAACAGGCTTAGCCACCAGCTGCTTATCGTAAAAGGACGACAATAATGGCGCCGATTTGATCACTGGTACCACCTGCTTGACGTACGTCGGTACTACGTGTTTGTAGACGGAGGGAACTACCTGCTTCACTACCGCTGGTGCGACCGACGCGTGGACAGATGGCGCGCTCTTCGACACCACGGCATTGAACCCGTTTACAGGGTCGGCAACATAGTCTACTACGCGGATAGATCCGTCGGGCTCCACCAGGGAGTACTGGCCTTTCACCACGTCCCCATCTCTGCTCTCCTGCTGAGCCTTGACATCACCGGTGTGCGGGTCGGAAACTCCGTACCTGAAAGCGTATTTCGGATGGGACTGAAAAAAAAATAATAATAAATGAAATTATTATAGATTAAAATCCAAAGTTTTTTAAATACAAATAAAGTAATTAGGTATGTTGTGCGCTATAATATTCTATCACCGAAATGGTGATTATTTTGTCAAAAATTAGAAAGAAAAGAACAGGCCATGTGAATATATACTTCAAAGGTAGTTTCTTTAGATGAAAATAAGCCGATTCAGATTAAATTAGCTTTCGCTTCTTTAAAAATTTGTCTGCCTTCAGAAAAATATTTTATTGAATTTCTTAAGAGAACCCCATAACATTTCAATAAAATTTAATATGAGATGTTTTTTATGATAACCAAGTGTGAAAATTTTTCCTTATAGGTCGCTAAAAACATCTTAAACTGTGTTTTAACTTTTTTGCCATATTTATTTTGTTGGTCAAAATTTTGAGAAATCGAAGATGTTTTTTCAATTTTTCAATTGTAGTATCAGTTACGGACACCTGAGTATTTAGGAGTATTCTAGGTAAATTGAATTTCCATATAAAATAAATATTTTTTATCCAATTTGTCCCCATGCTAGGATATAGCATGAATTTAAATTTTGCGATATAATACATTCAAAGGCCTATACGAGGTCTGTACAGAAAATAATAATAATTTTATTCTTTGAAACTTTATTATCAATTTTATACATTATTGATCTTTGTTTCCTTCAAAGGACTCCCCTCCTCTATTCACACACTTTTTCCAGCGCTATTTCCATTTCGCGAGCAGTCCTGGATAGCTTTATTTGAAATGACCTTTAAAGTCTGTGACGAATTTGCTCTGATGTCATCAACAGTCTAAAAACGGCGTCCTTTCAGCACTGACTTTAATTTCGTAAATAAGAAAAAATCGCAAAAAATCAGGTCTGGCGAGTAGGGAGAGTGAGGGAGGACAGTAACCTGATTTTTGACACAATACTGATGACTTAAGAAAGCTGAGTGTGCGGGCGCATTATCATGGTGCAAGAACCATAAGTTGTCTCGCTACTACTCTGGTCTCTTTTTGCAGATTTTCTCAGGTAACCATTGTAAAGCGCCTTGATAGTACACACGGTTCACCGTTTCACATTGAGGCAAAAATCCAAAATGCATAATTCCATTAAAGTCGAAAAATACAGTGGCATCACTTTGACATTGGATCTGGTGGCCGTGTGTGGACCGGGTGACGGTAGCCAGGAAGTTGGTGAGAATCCAGAGACTTGCCTGCTTAGGTATTACAGGGGCAATGAGGA